TACAGATAAGGGATAAAAAAGACGAACAAAACAATACATAATTTAAAAGCACACAACAACCGTACCATTCGAAGAGGGGGGCAAAAGCTCTTTAGCCCCAGGCCTGTCGGAACAGCCAGGTTTTAAGGGCTTTGCGGAAGGCCTGGAGGGTGGTGAGGGTTCGAATCTCCACGGGGAGATTTTTATGTTGATTGGCCAGATTCAGAATGATAGGGAAATACATTCAATTCTATAATATATTAGTGGTTATAAACATGACTATTCTATTTATGCAAATCTGCCACCATTCACACCCAGTAGTTATAAGACAGCTAAAATCACTTTCCAGAGCAGATACATAAAGTAGAAAAAAAGTAGTGGCTGCTTTAACTGTTTATGAAAAGATGCCCACCCATAATCTTACGCATTTTGAAGGGTTTTTTTTTTTTAAAGGAATTGATTGCACAGTCCTAATAACTAGAGATGAGAATGAAAATGAGAAGAACGTCATTGTTGTTTCATTTATTTAACAGTAATCTCCACCTTGAGATTAGTCTCAGGATGTTGATATGGAGTATTTTGTTAATTGCCAGAGCATCATTGTTTTCCATCCATCTCAAACCCAGGCTGAGATTAACAAATAATAGCTAAGAAAACAATGGGTATATATGGGTGGGTAACCTAACTTTGGAGAAGGACTATCTCTTTTTTTTCTTTTGTTAGATTTGTGGCTCTTCTTCTCCGAATGTATGCATAGATCGGTTTTCTTTCTTCTTCTTTCTCTCTCTCTCTCTCTCTCTCTCTCTCTCTCTTTATTTTGTTGTTTGTTTTTTCCTCGTTCACTTCCCTTTTTGAATTTATCTTCTTTTTCTGTTCCCCTCCACCAGCTCTACATATGATATGGTACTATTTTGTGATGGTGCTCATGGCACTGTCAAAATTTCATCAGCTCCAAAAGTTTGGATATCCTTTTGCTAATAATGATATTTGAATGTAGCCCATTGCAAATGAGACATCTTGGAAAACTTTAGTAATTTATTTTTTTGCAAATCATGTTAAAAAACTGTGACAATTTTCAAACCTAACGTTGCATTTCTTAAGTTTACGTAATAAAAATATGTGTTGATTATACAATTATTTCCAGAGCTAGTGAACCTTCAGATGTCCATTGCAAAACAATAGCTGCTGCAAATACTACTGTAGACAGAGGTGGAACCTCTGAAGATTTAGTTCTTCTTTGAATTCCGAATACGTAGCTATCTCTTTTAGTAAATGCAGTTTAATTCCAAAAAAAGCCTTAAAGGAGTGACAAGTGAAAGTCTCTTGCATATTTATGTACCATGGGCACCTGTGTAACAATTATGAAAATTGGCCCAGAGTGGGATCTATAAAAAAGGAAATGGGTTTGGGTAGGATCTTAGGATAGTAAATTATAGTACACGTCTAAAGCCTGAATCCCAGTCTAACTCATTTATTATTGCATGAACATTTTAGGACAGGTATACTTCATTATATCATTTTCCTAAAGTGAATGTGGGAATAAGGGAATTAAGTATTTGTTTAGTTCCATATTAAGTTGAATTCTGTTCTGCTTTAATTTGAGCCAAATATAAATTACTTAATTCTGGATGAACAGTGTGTTTTGTTACAGCTATGAGTCATTGTGGATATGCTATTGAATTAAGTAGCTGTTTCAAAATATTAAGATGTCCGAAGATAAACCATGCAGCAGAGTAAACTGTTTTAATAAAACAAATAGGCATAATTATAAAATCTGCTCCGTGTGTAGTTGGTTGTGATCATTAGGTAATGGAAATACTTTGCCATCTGATTTTAAAGCAGGTATACGTGATATGGATTTTCTGGATTTCTGTGCTCGCTACTGAACTTCAGTTTTCTCATTGGAATTCTTGAGCTTCTCCACAATTCTGTTTTTGTTTTTGTTTTTGCTATTTTTCTTATAAAAACATTTTTATCATCCTGTTGCAGGGCATTTCTGATCTGCAATAGTTCTGTAACCATGCATTCCTACATTTTAACGAAGAAATGTTGCCCATCATAAATTCTTTTAAACTAAATTAAATTTTCAAAAGATAAGCTTATCCAGATGCTGAAAACACTGAGAACTTACAAGATATTACTTTATATGAGAAATATCCACATTGGTTTTAGACTTTGTTGCACAGAAATATTTGCAGATCAGCATTGCTGACTACTACAGATTTTTTTATACTTTTCCATCAAATCCTCAGTTATGCTTTTATATTTCTGCATCAAAATTCTGTGCATCAAATAGTTTATTTCCGTGTAGTAGTTGTGATGGACTCTAATTATGCCTTCTGTTTTTGAAGAAGAAAAATGCAAACTGAGTGAATATTTTTTCCATAAAGTTCTATTACTAACCTATCAGTATTACCAGTAAATAGAGCATTTGTAGAAAAAAAGTTCTAAAAAAATCTGTCAAATATTTCTAATGATAAAGAAATACCTGTAAAGAAGCTAATTAATAATTGCCTGTTAGTGTACTTAACCAAGATCTTAACCAAGATCAATTACACGAAATGTTCAAAGATTGGATAATCTTTTATGAATCACTTTTCTAGGCAGAAAACGATTCATAAAATTATTTCAGGTAACTTAAATATTAAAATCAATGTTCTTTATGAAAAAAAAATATTTTTCAATGTTTGCCGATATTTAAGAACTCAGTTGACATAAGCTTCTCTACTCAACTGACATATAACATGCCACAAAATGGGAATTAAAACATCCTTTGTAAATGGCATTAACATGAATTATTTCATTTTTGTAATTACAAATTACTCAATTCTTTTTTTACTATAATTTTAAACATATTCTCCTTATTCCCTCAAAGCAAGATGGCCTCATATTTCCATTTGTATAAGGTAAAACTTTAAAAGATTAGAATATAATAATCGTTTGTAATGTGAAATTTTCAAGATTTTCAAAAAGAGGTACATTTTGTTTCTTAAAACCTATAGTACTAAGGTATGTCAGATACCTTAGATTTTTCAACTAAGATTAGGTTTGAGTCGTAGAAATCTCTCACCAGTTTGCTGCAGTCTAACTCTGCTGCATGCGTTCATGAATTCCATAAAGATTGCATGCTCTGTCTAATACAAATTGTATTTTATTTTTACACCCATCCTTGCTTTTTTATATTTCATTTTTGTTTCCCTATTCTTGATTGGATGCCTGTGTATGTTTAATCCAAATCCTTGTCCAGTCCTGGAGTTTGAACTACGGAAAGCAAAAGAGACCATTCAGGCCCTCCGAGCCAACCTGACTCAGGCTGCAGGTGGTGTACCCAAACCTTTTCCTCAGTTTTTTTGTATTTTGATAAAATAAAAAGAGGTGGTGCATGACTGCCGGGAGAATAATGTGTTTTTTTTTTATGTATTGCTGTTTTCAGAAAATGAAGTTCCTTTGCAGGAACGAAGAAATTATAAATCAAGTCCTGAAATTCAGGTGAGTGATCCAACATGCTACTTCTGCTGTTACTGTACAGCAGGGGTGTCAAACTCAATTTTATTGAAGGCCGCATCAGGGCTATGGCTGATAGCAATAGCAATAGCAGTTAGACTTATATACCGCTTCATAGGGCTTTCAGCCCTCTCTAAGCGGTTTACAGAGTCNAAAAATCTGCCTGTGCCTCCCAGCAATTGTTGCAGCAAATAGCAAGTTTTACTTTCAATTTCCTGATGATCAGCTGTTTCAGGCTGCAGGGATTGCCATAGCCTATTGCCGCCTCCTCAAGCCCTATTTTCTCCTTCGCTGCAAGGAGGTAAATTGCTGGCAGGCAGAAGCCAAAGGGTGGGGGACGGTGGGTGGGCAGGGCTACATTCGGTGTATAAGATGCACCCAAATTTTAGGGGGGGAAGGTGCATCTTATACTCCGAAAAATACGGTATGTGAAAAGAAACTGTCTCACACATTGACATATAAATATATGTGAGAAAAATGTTCAATACAATATGGTTCTTAGAATGGACACATGGATTTAGGTGTGTTGGGAAAGCGAGAGTTGATCTTTAACTAAAGCATCACAATAAATTCAGCAATGTTTAAATAGAATTACTAATCTGACAAAAGTGACATAAATCCTCTCAAGGAAGTGGCCTTGAGTGACTAAAAAGGAATTAAAAAATGAAGAGAAACCCATTTCCTCATAGCAGAATTCTACCAGGAAGAAACTGATCAAAAATGTAATGGTAATATCTGGCTGTAACCAGAAAGATGTGACCTCTGTTATTACATTGTTAAGTAAGTTTATATGATGACTCTAAAAGTTCTTAATAGGTTTCCAAATGTATTGCTTCTTATGCCAATATATGGTCATTGACCAAAAAGCAAAAGCTTGAGCAAAGAATAGAGTACAAATATCTATTTAAAAAAAAAAATTGTAACTGAAACTAGACATATCACAGTCAGATCCAGTAACTTCAGACGATTAATTCTATGGCACAAAATTTGCCCACCATTCTGGAAATCCTCTTGGTCCTGGTACTTTGGAAGATAATGCACAATTGCTTTGGGGGGTTGATTTGAGTAGTTAATTCTGTCTCTGGATATGGTTAAATGTTTTCTGCTTGTGCGCCCTCCTAGGTTCATCCAGACATAGCATAGTACAAATTGGGGTTGGGGGGGGGGGTGAGTCCATAATAAATCAAGCCAAAGTTTATTTCTTTGCTCCAAGGTCACCTGTGTCAATACTAATTGAGCTAAAGATTCACTTCTAAAGATTTATTTATTTATTAGACTTATATACCACTTCATAGGGCTTTCAGCCCTCTCTAAGCGGTTTACAGAGTCAGCATATCAAA